GTGATGTCCTACAACGCTTATAAAAGCATGATTTTTACGCTAAGCTCAGTAAGTGTCGCTTTGCCCAGTGCAGAGTGGTCTTTCTAGGACACACTGCGTATGAGCAGGGTTTCCACATGGACGACGTGAAGATTACTGCTATTAGGATTGGCCTAACCCCACATCCGCTAAGCAACTTCACAATTTCTTAGGACTTGCTAGTTACTACAACAAGTTCATCTCAGGGTACACTAGGTACTCCTACCTCCTCCACAAGTGGGTAACGGGGACCCACACTTTTAGCTCCTGACTATCGGGTCCAAAACTGAAATTAGGGTTTGGGGTCAAATTTTATGTCTTTTTGTTTATTTGTTTTTGCCTGGTTTTGTTTTGGTTTGCTGTGTGCCAAGTTTGGTATCATTTGGGCCATTGGAATGTACTCTGATGAGATTTCTGAAATTTCTCAAGAATTCTGAAATTGGAATCTTGGCAAAATTTCATGGAAGTGCACTTTTGCCTTGCTGTTTTATAGTTTTTTTGTAGTTTTTGTTTCATTTTTTTTGGGTAAGTAGTTAGTATGATTTCCACTCTATCAATTGGTGGCAAGTTTGGTTAAAATGACCATTATGTTTTTGTTATAAATGGCATGAGAAGTGGTATGAAAATTGAGGCCTCCGTTAGCCGCCTCTCACCTCCTTACCTCCACTCCTTCGGCAAAACCCATCTTACTTCTGGACAGCACCCCATGAGGTTGCTTTTCACACCCTCTAAAAGGTGGTGACTTGTGCGCCCGTTCCTTGTCTACCCGATTTTGATCGTTCTTCCATCGTCCACCGATGCGTCAGATTTTGCAGTAGGAGTTGTACTCTCCTAGGTGTTTCCTACCATACCGGATTCCTCTGATCCCCATATCCTTCACTTTCCTCCCCCTCCTGCTGACAATGTTTCTCGATTGACACCTACCCTTTCACCTCTTCCCTCCACTGATTGTTCGGTCATTACCTTTTCTCCGACAATTGTGAAGGTCATTCGATCGCTTAATATTCCCGTTAGTTATTGCCCGTCGAGATAAAATAGACTGTCGGCGAGCGTGAGGTTCTCGTTGTAGTTTATGCCACTCGATACCGGCGTCATTACCTGCACGGGGTGCCTTTGACTATGCGCACAGACAACTCTGGTGTAGCAGCTTCTATCACGAAAGTCAAGCTTTCCCCTGGACAAACACGTTGGTGGCGTGAATTATCGGAGTTCACTCTTACCCTTGAGCCTATTAAGAGTGAAATGGACGGAGTCGCAAATGTTTTGTCCCGCCGTCCTGACTAAAATCAGGACCGTATCCTGCTTTCTGCCATCTCAGTCACCATCATTTATGATTAGTTGACCACTGTGTTTCACACTCTTTATTGTCACTGCCCTAATTTTTGCGATATCTATGCGAAATTGTGGTGACGTAAGACCGTTCCTTCATATTCCCTACGTTTGAACACGGTTTTCGGTACTGGCATGGTGAGTGTGGTTGCTGAGAACCACGTGTATGCGTTCCCTTCGCTGTACAACTACGTTCAAGCCGTAGCAGAGTTCCATGACTAGGCAACTGCTGGGCACATGAGCTTTCGAAAGCTATGGATTGTGTCTGCCATCTATACATCTGGCCCAAGCACAAGGAATTCGTTCAAAGCTACGTTTAGGAGTGTCCTACGCGGTAGTAGTTGAACAATGGGAACCACCTTCTGTATGGGTTACTTCAACCTCTACCACACCCTAGAGTCGTTGACCATCCATCTCTATGGATTTTGTTGGTTCCCTCAGCCCCCCCACTAAGCATGGTTATGATGCTATCCTAGTCGTCGTTAATCTCTTCACGAAGAGCGCAAATTTTATCTCATGTTGATATTGCATTGGCGCTCGTGAGGTCGCCGACCCCGTCTTCGAGCGAGTCGTGAGAGATTACGGCCTACCTCAGAGCATCATCTCTGACCGTGACCCATCCTTCACCAGCATGTTCTGGCGACACCTACACGATGTGTACAGAGCTCAGGTCCATTTCTCTTCGTCTTGCCACCCTTAGAAGGATGGTCTGACTGAGGTTATAAAAAAAACTCTCGATAATATCGTTTGAAGGTTTGTTTGGGATAACCGACAATGGACCTTACACTTAGCCTGCACAAAGATTGCTTGCAACCACACGTATCACCCTCGAGTGCCCACAAATTTTCTCTGATCGTCGCAATTGCACCATGACATTCGTAGCTCCACGCTTAACGAGTGGTTTGAGCATATGACGAAGATCTTTGACCGCGCACACAAGAGTATAGTCGTTTCTCAGACCCGCATGGTTGCATGAGCAGACAGATCACGAATGAACCATGCATTCGAAGTCAAGTGATGATGTGCTCATTGATGCCCGCCACTTGCAACTCGAAGCAGATACACTTTGCAAGTTTAGGTGTCGTTTCTTCGACCCATACCACATCGTCCAGGCTGTCAGTTCCAATTCTGCCAATAGACTGGTCAACTTCCGCGTGAAGCTGCCTAATTATCTTGAACAGGCTCGGGTACACGATGTTTATCACGTCTCCCTGCTGCGTCCTTATCGCAGACAGTCCGAGCGCTTCGTCGGATGCCCTTACGAGCAGCCTCTACATATCATGGTGGATGGTCACAAGGAGTTCGTTGTTTTCGACATCGTATCTCGTTGAATTACTGACGA